TATATATTGAAAGATTGGTGGATATATATGATTATCGATGGGGAGTTTACCTAGGAATCACCAACCCAAGAATTGTAAATATGGAGCAGAACAGTGACATACAAGAAGAATCAGCATCAGCCATCAACCATTGGAAATTAACTTACGTTGAGCCCTTATATGTAATCATATATCTACAACAAAGTATATAGGTATGTGAAAAATCATACACGTGTACATACACATACATATTCATTTATGTATTCGAATATGCCTATGATATTTGAATACAATATATATCAAAGTCAAACGCATACGAAACAATGCGGGCGAAGCCTCCTCTACTGGGCACTCACTTCCTCACGCAACGTTTCAACGATGGCTGCCAAGCACACATCCACAGAGTGAGTATCCTGTACTCTGAATTCTTTGTCCACATTCTCGGCTACCCAACGCACGGCTGAACCAGGAACTAAGCGATAATTATTCATATTAAGTCTGAATGATGGGCTCAAAGAAGTATGGAATATTCTTTACTGGGGTTCGAGTTTTCAATACAACTGATTCTAGTGGAATGATATATATATATCGTATTTACTATGGAAGAACACACATGACCCTATTATATATGTGTACTGTATTTACATCACACTACACACGGCCCTTGGCTCTAGTAAGATAGTCATACATCGTTGCAAAATGACAGGATTCATTGAATTAAAAAGTGCGGACCACTAATACGTTTTACGTTATTTCGTATAAAAACCACTACATTTTACGTTTACGTTTAACAGTTACTTTGGTTTCGTCCTTATCTTTGATGTAAATAGGTGCACGACCTCTGTATACGCTATAACGGATAAATATCAGAGCTTTATTCGTTCCCGTTAAACGTATATTCTGAACCATGACACTGTGAGTCATTTTTGTAAGGAGGCGCTATGTATGTCAATTGTACCCTAAAAACAAACTTCTTGATCAGGCACTGCGTCTTGGATTAAGTACACATTTGCAAGTGACAGGTTTCATATAGCTAAATTCATTGTGGGCTCAACTTCGGATTCTTCTTGACAATATGAAGGCGTACAACTTTTGTGCGGACGTGTGGTTAGTGGTGTGTATATACATTTTCAGGGCTTCAAATCGGTTTGTGATGAGGTATTGCTGACGATAGGCTACAACTGGTATTTCTCTTAGTGACACATCTCCGAACTGCACTGTGGCACAGAAAATTCCAGGGCAAACAGTTATAGCGACTGTCCTTGTAATTTCTCCGGACCTGCCCTATTCTCCAAAGCGGAATATTGTCTTTTCCCCTCGAATGAACCATTTTGCCCGCCTAGCATCTATTTCCTAGCATAACTCATTATGTACCTTACACTTGTTCTTTTAAAGAAAACGGCGAGGTAAACAAATACTTATATTTCCAGAAAAAGAAGAAAATACTAGAATTGGGTATGCATGTGACGGTACTAATAGTTGACTCTGCATTGCCCTTGCACATGATTTAAAGGTAGAAGACAAATTGAGAGGCCGGGCAATGAATATTCATGCAAACAAACTAGTTCTTCAATGCTAGACATAGGTACTCGGGTGCTATTCTCCACATCCATTCATAGACTGCACGCCACGAATCACTGACAACCTCCGACACTGCCATGGTAGCCTCCATAAGTTGGACTGTACTGTCAATCAGAACCAGACTTTACTGTAAGTGGGAATATCTAAGGTACATATCTACTCGTGGCTTTTGCCATGCATTGCGATGTCTAGTATAGTTGGACTTAATCACAATTTCGCTTTCTCGGATGACCTCGACTTGGACTTAGACTTCGATCGTGAGCGCGAACTCGAGCTGTTCGATCGGGATCTACTCGATCTAGATCTAGATCTAGATCCACTGCTTGAACGAGAGCGTCTCCTATTACCACGGTTGCGACTGCGACTTCGGCTACGACTACGACCTCGACTGCGGCTGCGGCTGTAACTGCGCGATGGCGATCTTCGCCTTCCAAATCGTGCCAGTGATCTGGATCTAGAATTGGGAGCGATGTGAGATATGGCTAGCGTTGAAATGTTGGAGGGGAGAAACTGTTGATTGCAAAATATTCCTAGCTTGAATTATTGATAGAATTGGAGGGAGCATCAATACTTGCTTCTCGTGGCTTCCAGTCTTCACTTCTGAAAAATTGTCGGTGTCAACCCAACTCACAAGGCAGTACAGGCCGACAAAAGGTAACTGCAAATAAACATGACCGTAAATATGATTTGTGCATGCACATATACAACTCCTGTCAAAAGAAGGATCGATCACTGTCGTTACCTGGATCGCCGTCTGTATCCGCCTGCATAGCCTCTACTACCACGATAGCCCTCGTAGCCATTGCGGGCTCGTCCCCTGTATCCACCACCCCCACCACCATACCTCCCAACGGGACCGCCGTACCCAACTCTGCGACCACCACGAGCGTATGCTGGTGCACGGTATGGCGACCGCGATCTGAATATAAAGGGACAATATGAAGTGTATAGCGATGAGACAAGTGTAATGTTAGCTGGTTGCGTGTCAAAGGGAAAGCCGTGCAAATGTATAGCGGGATCTAACAGCCAGAGAAGAGCAAAACCACCTTGAGGTGCACGCCAAATCGAGGTATGATCGAGCCTAGGTGCGTATTAGAGTCGCTAGTGTGGTACACAACTAAATACAATCAGCAACACAACCTCATCCCCCTTACAACTTCCAATACACGATCGTATGAGTGTATATACGTGAGATAGTCACTATATAATGCAAGAAGTACCAGAGCGTCGTCAACAACTACATACCTCCTGACAGGTGCAGGAACCACTAGTTTGATGGTAATGGCTTGCCCATCGATTTGCCCTCCGTTCAAGTGTATCAAGGCTTCTGAAGCCGCTTCGGCTGTTTCATACTCAATATTAGCAGTCCCCGTATACTGTTCGATTGTCGCGTGGTAAGTTATTTAGGCTATGAATAAGTAATGACAGTTTAAACGGCAAAAAAAATCGAAAAAAATATCGCTCATCTTGCAGTAGTAGAAGAGTGGCAATTTTTGATATCTATTCACAGCATCATGTTTGCGCATCGGTCTACCGTGACCAATAAAATTAGGTACACTGTGCATAAAATAAAGACACGAAGTCCATACTTAAGTACATTCCATCTCATCGCATAAGTACACAAACTGTGTTTCATATCTTAAACATCGTGCTGGCGGGCGTATATCATCAAAAGTGGCAACAGCATATTTATAGAAACAAGACTTACAAATCCAGTCCTTTCACTCACTGCGTAATCCAGCTCTACAATCTTCCCGTATTTACTGAAAATCTCACTCATATGATCCTTCGTTACGTTTGTAGTAATGTTGCTGATTTCGATTTTCTTCACTGGCGAGATAGAGCGTGCGCGTGATCGACGCCTTGAACGCGATCGTGATCTTGACCTTGAACTGGAACTGGAACTGGAACCAGATCTGTTGACATTTGGAAAGAAATAAGAACAGCAGTGGTTTAACATCATATATGGGCGTCAGCGAATGAAGACCCCGCAGTAGGTTTAGTACGTGTAAATATATGTGGTGTATGCATAGAAGTACAATCGGCGCTAAGCTTAGTAATATACAATATCATCGAAGAACTATAGGTGAATGCACACACCCTAAATGTGCGATGTACTCAGCGAACCACAAACAGAAAGCTATACATGAGATAATCTCGACGGGTGTAAGCACGCAAATCAAAAAGCGGAGGAATCTGACAATCAAATAGGCTGACTGGGATATTCAACTACATCGAGCCTCTTGTTAACTTTACGAGATAATGTTACAGTGCAGAGTAGGACGTGAAGTTTGTGAAGGATTTTATATATAAATTTCCATATACATATACACACACACATATATATATATATTATATATATATATATATATATATATATATATAAGAAGAGAAGAATATATATATA